GTCATGGTTTTAAGGACTCGCTGGGGGGAATTCTGACCATGGCTTCATCCCTACCACGGCAAACAGGTGCCAGCATCCCCTTGGCTGCTAAGGTGGCTGGCAGTTCGCCTGCAGCCCGCGAGGCCCAGAGCCGGCCCCGTGGAGGTGGGTGGCCTCAGGCGCCCTAAGGGCGGGTGGGCATGGCAGCGCAGTGGCTGCTCACTCTGTCAGGGGCCTCGGCTTGTTCGTTGGTCCTCCCCAGGCCGCCTGTATCCCGTGCACCGAGGGATGTCCCTTCGTGGGCTCCCGCGTCCTGCGGGACACAGCATGGAGAGCACCCGCACGCAGTGAGGCCAGGCGTTCCCAGGTATGGGACGGAGAGGGAGAGGAGCCAGAGTGAGAACACCGAGGGCACGCTGGGGGCGCGGCAAGCACGCCTTCCCAGCACTGGATGGAAAGCAGCTGCCAACCTGTGAGCTCACTCGCTCCCTCAGGCTGCAAATGATTCCCATAAAAGACGCGTTTGAGAAATCTCTACAAGAAATGTTAAGGGAAAGTGTTTCCTAAAAGCTTTGATCCTCAAGTTTGAGAAAGCGTGTGCCAAGGCTCAGGCGAAGCTGGGCATTCCCGAGGGCAAGGAGAGCTCGGCTGTGTCTCCCGGGGCCTTTCCTCAGTCTTGGCCTCATGCCATCTCCTCAGTGCCCCACTGCAGGCAGAGGCTGCCATCTTCACGCGCCCCGCCCAGCACACAGCCTCAGAGCCTTCCCTTACCCCGCAGGAGCTCAGTTCAGTTTTTTGTTTGTTTGTCCACCCATTGCCCCTTCCTGCCCCCGACCCTTGCTTTACAGAAATAGCTTCAGCTTCTACACACCCACCCACTCCAGGGAACCTCTGGTCTGTGATGCCTTGTGCGGGTGAGGATGGGTGTGGTGGGCTAAGATCCCACAGGAGCAGGCTGAAGTTACTTGGGATAACTACATTACACACTGAATTGCTTAAGTTTGAGTTCAACTCCATTCTCAATTCTAATTTCCTGCTAAGGTGATCCCTAGGAGGCACAAGTTGACAGCTCAAGCAGTTACAGGCACCACTCATGTGGAAGACCCATATTCAGTTGCCAGTTTCTTGGGAGGTGAACAAGTAGATTGGGAGATTTTTGTTTCAAGAAAATAAATTAGAAAACATGAATAAGAACATCTGGAAGGCAATGAGAAATGTATTTTCATTTTCTGGTGGGGTATAGAATCAAGTTCTAATTTATAGGGTAAAAAGTCATTCTTTAGGGAGGGCAAGAATAATTTTTTTCTGGTTAGGCTGTACAAGATTCTCAAGACATTCTTTACTTCTTGAGATCAAATATCGGGGGATTGTCCAAATGATGTTTTCTGATCAGCGGACGACAGCTTCTTAGAATCTATATGGTTTTATCCTGCGTTTTAGGATTATCATGAAAAATATAATAAATGTGTTATTCTCAAACTGCCTCAAGGGTTATTGTTCCAATACAAAACACCACAGGCACAGCCATTTGGATTTTTAATTTATTATTAAATTACATACCAAAGCTTCTATACAGTCAGAAAATGCACATTTGGATGGGAACAAAAAAAATTTAAGTACAAATACAATAAATTGGTTCCAAGAAGCTATTTTAAAAGCAAAAAATTAGAAAGTGCATTTGGAAAAGAATAGATTTTTAAAAAATCTGTATTGGCATTTTTTCATGAGGAAACATCTTCCATCATAGTAAAGTGTGTGACTGGAATGGATTTTCTTCCCCCAGGAGCTAACAGGGTGGGAATGAATGCAAATGATCTGACACTAACATGAGATCTTTGACATAAAGAAAAAGATCCCTTTAGACATGGCTCAGCTTTGTCTTGCTCCATCCTTATCTGCCTTTCCCCCTCTAGGATGTAAGGTATGTGGGGTGTATAAGAGAAACAAAACAAAAGACTAGTTTATCAAGATTATCAGAGATCAGGCTGAACAAGCCCAAACTTGAGAAGAAATGGAGACAATTGCTGTAATTTCTGAGTAGATTTCATGTTTTTGTTTTCTGAGTAAAATTCGTGTTACCCTGGCCACCAAATCCAGGCTAACACAACACAACCACTCATCTCCAGCAACTTTACACTGCAAGCTAAAAACCCAATTTCCAAAAATCACATGAGGTATTATTAAACCAAAAAGATTAGTTCAGTTATTTAAAAATCATTTTCATTAGGCTGAGATCATTAATAGCGAAAATAGAAAATTAATGGTAGGAATGCAAGCCTCCCCTCAAGGTGCCTCAGCTACACAGAATCCCAGTCATTGCATCCAAACACTAAGTATACTTTCTTTCATTCAGATACATTCACATCAGAAATCTGAAAATATTGGAAATACTTGTTTGCAAGTGTAAAAAGAGTGCTCATTGTATCTCCTTTATCACCTGTCTGTACTCTCATGCCTGATTTAAATACTGAGTAGTATGGAAAAAGGCGTTCGCCACACAAGGGACAGAAGACTATAGAGAGGGACACCCTTTCCTAACGTTAGAACAGAAGGGAGTCCTTCTGCATCCACAATGATGATGACGGCTAAGGTGACATAGCCTGTCAGGACAGAGAAGCCTAAGTCCTTGGATATCTTGGCTTGAACTTGAGTTAAGATTTAACATTTTTACTGAAATCATCAATACATACTAAACAGCATCTCCTGGAACAAAAATTTGGAACTTTCTGCCCCTTTGATGCCCCCACCCTTTTTTTTTTTGTGAAATAAAAAGTTCTGAATGGTTACTAAAAGATCTAAAAAGGAAAAGACTCATCATATCAAACAATGGCTGAAGGAGCCTAACTTCCTCTTCAAGGCAATATATTAGGAGCTAGAAATAAAAATTCTGATTTCCATGCTCTGATTGATCTGTGGTCCTCACTAGCATTAACAAGGAACTAACATTTGGCCCCTGGGCCTAACTAGCAAATGGGCTGTAAGGAGAGAAAACCCTAACAGGTAAAGAGAAAAATAACTAAAGGCATGGGAATGAAGTTCCATCCTGAATACAGCCCCTTCCTGTCAATCGCACACCTCTCCTTCCCTGGGAGGAAGTGAATGAACCAAGAGTGGAAGGGAAGAGCACTCTCTTACCTACCCAGGTCCCCTCGCTGTGCACGATAGCGCTGGGAGGTGACACCTGCTTGATACCAACTGCTACACCTAGCTTCTTCAACTTCCTTGGAAGAACCGGCTTCTTTATTTTCATAATAAAAATTGTCACCATAATTCTATCACTTTCATGTAAGCATATCCCTAATGAAGTCTCATCAGCCATCAGTAATAATGTTTGAACTGCAGCAAGCTAGAGTAACTTGAGCCCTACTTTTCTCTTACACAATTAACTTTGATGATGAACATATAAAATAATAAGACCAGTAAAAACATCTAATAGTATAATTAAATAAATAACTTTATTTATGATACTTTAGATTTTATAAATGCCAACTATAAGCAGATAAAGTCCCACACATTCTAGCTGAGGCACAACCACCAATCAAGGCCCTTTGAAAAATCAAAGATAATAAAGTGTTAGGGGAGAGAAGTTTTGTTCTCTCAACAGAGAATTTAATAATACATGAACATACTTCCCTGATCTTTTAAGTTTCACACTGGAAAAACTTAATTTTCTTGTAAGGGCATTCCATTAACAAATTGATCAATCAACCCATATCTAGAAAAATAAACCCTAGTTAAGAAAAATACATCAAATGCCCTTCATACACACTCAGAGTGCAGTAAGTTTGATACCAGAATGATAAGCCTCTCTGTCTCAATGCCAGCTGATAAGTCTACTGGTTAGCCTGTTCACCAAGCTCACATGAATACCAGCATTTACACACCGTGACACAGTTAAACAACTACCTGCTAGCCTCATTTCCTTCCCTGTGTCGGTTGGAAGTCAATGCTCTAAACATCATGGTAAATAGATGCCAATGGTGAAGAGCAGTCGTTTCTCCTGGAAAGGGTAGACACTGAACCTTTAAATGTTTGGCAAACAAGTAATGAGTTTACAGAACTGAGAAATGGTTAATTCTGATGTGTGACTTCATACTTTGTCACTGTCCAGGGAAGGTAACAGGAGACAGGTGCAGACAGCAACATTTTTCTGTTCTGTGCAGCTTTAATCATGAAAATCCTTCTTGGGAGTTTTGGGAACTTTTAACTGACTGGGACTGAGAAATTTTTGCAGATCACAGAATTGCTGCTCCCTCAGGTAGCAGTTGGGAGCCCTCTGCTTTGAAGGTATGGAGCATTCAAAACCGCAATAACCTGGACAATGACCCTCAAGATTCAAGATTTCCACATGTGCTTGTTGAGCAGACATCTCTGAGAACGGGTCCTTTCTCTCAGCACTCATCCTTCATGGTGAGGAGCAGTGAGGGCACTGGCAGACATTGGTTGTTGGTTTCTTCTGTTGTGGTATAAGAAGGATTTCAATCTTGTAGTAGCAAATAGTAACCCAATGGAAGAAGTCAACAAAAAAGTCAAGATAATGGCTGGCTCCTTAAAAAGAAAGGTCATCTTGATGCTTTTCCAGCACAATAGTTAGACCCAATTTTTAAGAAAGGAAAGAAGACAAAAAGTTTTTTGTGCAGTGTTCATTTCAGATAACCTCAAACACCTATGAAGTTGGCCTAACTGCTTCTCAAAGTATCTGTGAAAACATGAATTATCCTTGAATACCAAGAGTTGGGTTACTCAGAGTAGAAATCTACAGCACAGATGATTGAGAAAGGACTTGTGATTTTTCATCATTAGTGTAAAATCAAAGGACCAAAGTTACTTTTATATGCAACCCAATCTAATGGCTGGAAGAAAAGCAGTCTTTGGGTTAGAGACACTTGTTTTTCTGAGGAATCTGGCCTGGCTTGGCATCAGGCTTCATCACTTGGAAGTACAGACTATTCTGGTTTTCATCAGTTTACTTACCTCCTAAGGAGACAAAAGCAACTGAAAACCCCTTCCCTCTTTGTTTAAACTAAAAGCAGGGAAATGTGTATTGGAAAGGATAGCACAGAACGCCTGTGGCTTCGGCTCATCCTGAGCATATTACAGAGTCCAGCGTGGTCAGTCTTGAAGTCATTCTGCTGGTCAGGTTCATCACCAGAACAGTCAACTTCCTACTTTTCCTTATTCCAGATTAGGGAGTAAAATGGTGGCCGTCACGTCCTTGGGGATGTGCCATCAGTGGAAGGCATACAGCAGCAGGAGGATGGTGCAGATGCCAATCACGGCCCCCAGGATGAGGGAGTCTCGTCGCTTCCTAAGGTTGATCCGCTGGATCAGACTGTTCACAGCAGGAAATCGATCTTTGGGAAATCTTTATTAAGGTCACATTTGCAAGATGTCTTGATAGTGAAAAGTCACAGGACTCACAGGACAGAGCTCAGTAGAGTTCAAAAACTGTTAAGTGATGAGAAGAAACAAAGGAGAAGCAAACCATAGCCAGGGAGTCGGGCAAACACATTTCCATGCTACTGTGCTATATCCCGAACAAATTCTAGTCTTCTAGTCCTATATGTAGTGAACAGAGAATACAGGAAGAAGGAAAAAAAGAACCCTCAAAGGGAGCGAGGGGGAAGAAAATACTGACAATTCCTATTTACTGAGGTTACTGCCAACCCTCAGGTGAGGGCGGGAGCCAGTGCAAGGACAAGGAGGCATCACTGGCCACTGTCACCTTCATCCTCTTCCATTCTCTCCCTCCTTTTCGCTTTCTTCCTCCTCTCAGCTTTTCCCCAGTCCTCTTCTCTCAGGAGACTTGAAGGGTTCTGGAGAACCCTAAAAGTTTTGGAGAAATCCCTAATCCTCTCCTCATGGGATAATCATCTCCCATGGAATCAGGCAATTGGCAAGAACCAACTCTAGGATGCACACAATCAGACATGGCTGAATTATTTAAATTTTAAAATTCACTTTACAGCCATGGGCAGGATATAGTTAGGAAAGTAGGTTAAATTGTTCTAGCTGTTTTATTTGGGGAATATAAAAAAGCTCTATCTTACTTAGTACTTAAAAATATTTTTACACTCTTATTTATTTATAGGTTGTAGACCCAAACACCTATACTGCTGTGTATTTCTGGTTAGGGTTTCTGACAATGCACCTGCAGGTGCACCATTTTTTATTAACAGAGATGTTATCAAGACCAGGAAAATCTATGACAAAAACCACCTAGCATGCTACACAATTGGAATAACCCCACACACTATGAATCCTCATTGCATTTTCTTAGAACAAGGAAACTCTCACCTGGGACTACATTTATCTGTGTGCTTACGTATCCTGAACTTTCTATGATTAAAACCATGCCTTCTTGTAATCATGAATTCCTTTGATGTGTGGAACAGAGCTTTACATGCTAGAGGTATTAATGTGTTTTTGAACCACTGAAAGAAAAAAGAAAAGTAATTTGCAGAAACAGCATGTATTGAATTAATGGACAAAAATTTTTACAAGGTAAAAAAATCTCATATAGAGAAAATGCTTGATGTTTTCTTGCTTAGTAAAAGGATAAGCGCACTAAAAACATGTTAGGACTGACACAGAGCGTATGTGTTTTTTGCATCAGGAAACTCTGTCTACAATGGATAGTTTTGTCCAGCTTATCTTTGAGAAACCATGGCTCTCCCTTTGGGCCTCCTACAGTAATCTAGCTCAGCCTATGTCACGGGGTGGGGATCACCCTGCCCTCTGCCATCAAATCTACACACCGACTCAGGACAGGCCAATGAGAACAGTCCTTTCCCCTGGGCTAGAAATGGGCGGTAACTCAAGCTGGAACAATTCTGGTTCTCTTGGGAATTCTAACAGCAACAGCTGTTAAAAAGGACTCCATGGGGAACTTTGAACTGGTATTAAAGCTATCTCTTTGAAGAGGAGAAAGGCTGCCTGAGCCTCAGCTAACAACAAGGAGGACTAAGATGGGGAAGAGAGCAGGAAAGAGGAGATATCAAACAGTTCCTGAATGGCAAACTCCAAGTCCCTGAATCTAGCCCTGCTTTAATACCAAATATCCCAGACTTTAGTTAAGGATACAAATTAATTCCTTCTTCCCACCTTTAATCTATCTGAGGTAGCTTTCTGCTACTACTCTCTCTCTCTCTCTCTCTCTCTCTCTATCCATCCATCCATCTCACAATCTTTTGGAATTGTAAAATTACCAAGTAGCTAATCTTATATTCGGTTCTGGAATACTGCTTTATTTTAAGAGAACTTTACGGGGGGAAATACATCCACACTAAAGAAGAGGACATGTAGAAGTGACAAGAAATTCTAACAATAGGGAAAGTTTTAAATTCTAACATAACATGGAAAGGATTCAATCTTAGCCCTGCCATCTGATTCCTACTTCTATGTCAAAGTCTCAAGGGTTTCACTAGACAAAAAACATTTTTATGTTCACTAAGCAGATTCTGCTCTTATTGGTAACCAAGTTCACAGCTGAAGAAAGCATGATTTCATGGAAATGCAATGAAACTTGAAATCTGAACCTTTTAATCTGCTATTTTCTGACTATGAACCTGGGCAAAGCTATTTCTCTAAATCTAATTCTTCATCTACAAAAAACAAATTTTACAATCTACTTTTGTAGATCCTATATATAAGACAACTCTGTAAACTGTTTAGCACAGAAGTGATTCTGGTCTGGATCTGTGGTTGCTCAGATTGATAAGCTTAAACCAAAATTCATAAAAGCCTGCAAAATACCAATAAACTTCTAGATAAATCGCTTCCTTAGGCAAGCAGAAGTCACACTTAAGTGACCTTGGAAAAATGAAAATATGCTTACATAGTCACAGCATTCAAGCTGTACCTAGCAGTGCTATCTTATTTAGGCATATAGAAGGCTGTCTCCCTTCTTCCCCCTTCTAAGTATCTACCACTGACCTATTCTTCAAACCAGAAAAAGCATGATATATGATGTTCAAGTAAGATCCATGTACACTATGTATGCCATAGAACTAATCAAAAGAGCTTTTCAAATGTAAAACAAGGAGGGCATTTAGCATATTTCCTGACTAAAAGCAGTTTCTGTGAGAAAGTGGTGATGACCCAGCAGGGTCCCTGTCAGACCCTCATGCGCGACTTGAACTGAGTTTGTGGCTCTTGGGTTTGACCATGCCTGGTCCTAGTCACTGAAGACATTTAGGTAGTGAAATCAGTGGATGGGAGCTTTGCCTCTCAAATCAATTGAGAAATAATAATAAAAAAATACAATGTAAAATAATTTTGTAAGTTCACCTTTTAAAAAAATGTAGTAGTAAGTTTCTGGTGTGCAATCTTTATTTGCTTTCATCCATTTGAAAGAGCAGCAGAGAAGGATGGAGAGACACAGAGATCCCCCAAGCACTGGCTTACTCCCCAGAAGCCCACAACAGTTGCGGCTGGTTCAGGCTCAAATTACCAGCTTAGAATTCCACTCCTTCCAAGCTTTCTTTCCGTGTGGGTAGCAGGAGACCACTTCCGTAAGTCAGCACCCCAAGCCAGAGCTTAACCGATTGGTCCACAATGTTCATTCTTGTGTGTATTCTTTTGGAAACTGCACCAAACACCACCAACTTTTAGAAAGTAGGAATGCATGGTATATTCATAGTGTGCAGTTAACTGATGGGCACTCCTGAAACTGATGATGCCAACAAACACATGTACATGTCCTTGTTTCCCTCCACCCCTGCCCTCCCCAACCAAACCCAGATTTTAAGACTTTTTAGGAAGGATACTGGCCAAAGTGTTCATTCTGCTGTGAATTGATTTCAACATTCCTCTCTGTGAAGTCATATTTTCTTTTGTTGCCATAGCAATGCTTTGAGGGGGGAAAAGCAGATAACAATTAAATGGGCATTTAAGATCATCCTGTATAGATCCAGCACACCTTCAAAATGAAAATAAAATTACAGTGAGCATTAGCATCTTGAGCAGAAAACTGGGGGCTAGCAGTGTGGTTAGGATCATTTCCCACTGTCCTTTTCTTGAACAACTCCACCGCCATCCAAGGAAATTTTTTTTTTTTAATTCAAGGCAGTGAACCATTTCCTGTTTTCTTCAAAATAACAAATAAGACATTAACAGACAAATGACATTAAAATGCTTCTTAAGATGATTTTAGATGAGGCCAACTACAAAATATTCTTCATTAGGAAAAAATGTAGAGAAGGAAGTAGATAATTATAGCTATAAAAATAGAACCTAAAGTATCTATTCAAATGCAAACAATTTGGAATTTATGAAGAGATTATGCTATGAATTTCTACCAGGCAATCTCTGACCCATGTAGCATAGGGCTGAGTGTGCAAGCCAGTAAACAAATGAAATTTACTGAACATAACCAAGAAAGCAGACAATCTCACTATTTGTAGAATATATTCTGTTCCATGTGACTACTATGATGTCTGTCTCCTTCAGCAAGAATATAAGTTAACATGTCTTTATTTACTTCCAGAATATAAGTCCACAGTCCTATATCCTTGAATATTAGAATTATAGAGGGCAAGGTCAGTGCCCATTCTGATATCCACATACTAAGGAGTGCCTCAGATACTGACACTAAAAAAGATAAAAGAGGACTCAGCACAGTGGCTCAAGGGGCTAAATCTGCCCCTTCAAGCACCAGGATCCCATATGGGAGCCTCTCTGTCTTAGCTGCTCCACTTCTTCAACTCCCTGTTTGTGGCCTGGGAAAGCAGTCAAGGATAGCCCAAAGCCTTGGAACCCTGCACCCTCATGGGAGATCTGGAGGAGTCTCCTGGCTCCTGCTTTTGGAACAGCTCAACTCCAGCTGTTCTAGCCATTTGGGAAGTAAACCTCTTTCCAATATAAATAACCCCCTCTTTTTTTTTTTTAAGATTTATTTGAATTTCATTGGAAAATCAGATATATAGAGAAAAGAGAGACAGAGAGGAAGAGCTTCCATCCATTGATTCACTCCCCAAGCGGCTGCTACAGCTGGAGCTGAGCCAATCTGGAGCCTGGAGCCTGGAGCCAGGAGCCTCTTCTGGGTCTCTCATGCAGGTGCAGGGTCCCAAGGCCCTGCACTGTCCTTGGGTGCTTTCCCAGGCCACAAACAGGGAGATAGATGGGAAATGGATGGCCAGGACTAGAACCGGCGCCCATATGGGATCCCAGCGCATGCAAGGCCGATAGGCCAACTTGGGCCCTAAATAAATAAATAAATAAATAAATAAATAAATAAAAACTATAAGAAATATTGTAATCAATTCTGAAAATATTTGAAACATAACAAAAGGGTAACAGAGATGAAGACTGTAGAAAGATGAGACATGATACAAATCCCTGAACTCACCTTTGACCCATTTTCCCTCATGCACTAATACAAGAAAAAAAGTAGACAAACTGGGGAGGGTCTACCTGCAGTATAAAGTTTCTTTGAGAACTCTGAGAGAGCCAGGTAGGTAGAGGGGCTGCACTTCTCAAATGAGAAGAGAACTGTGAATTGATGCCAGGGAAATCTAGATTTTCCTTGAACTCTGGGATAAAAGACCCAGGCTTCATTGTTTCTTCTGGAATCCAGACAGCGGGAGACTATAGGCCTGAACGCACCTGGACTCGCAGTGACAGACAGACCCAACTGTTACCAGTTCCTGCAGCTGGAAAAGGACTACTGTGCAGAGAGAGTGACGAGCAGCGAGCTCACAGCCCAGCAGCATACAGTGTGATGCTCTGCTCTTATGGGGAAAAGTGCTGGGGCATTCAACACCAAAGAATATGCCAGAGCTTATGAGTCTCCATAGCCAGGCTGACCCAGGAGAGTCGGACACTAATCCTCTGTTGGTTTATTCCCCAGGGCTTGTAACAGTTAGGGCTGGCCCAGGTTGAATATATCAATCAGGAAGGTCCAAGTGCTTGGGTCCCTGCACCAGCATGGGAGACCAAGAGGAGGATGTTTGCTTCTGGCTTTGGACTGCTTCAGCTCTGATCATTGTGGTCATTTGGGGAATGAACCAGAGGAGGGAAGATCTTTCTCTGTCTCTCCTTCTCTCTGTATATCGGGCTTTCCAATAAAAATCAAAAAAACAAAACAAGTACACAAAAATTTCCAAATTGTTTCTAAGCAAAGAATTTTTGTGTTAAACACTCAATCAAGACAGGGCAGATAAAGCCTTTTTAGATGAGGACAGTCTCCAAAATTTACCTCCTGCTGATTCCCAGGAAGCAACTACAGGACATAGGGCAGTCGAATGAGGGAATAAACTAGGAAAGGGAAGACTTAAATCCGAGAAATAGGTGATCCAATAAAAACTGGATTATTTTAGGGTAACTGAGGATGGACATTCTGGGGCCAGAACAAAAAAATCAGTGTGGATTAGTACTTTCAATTATAGATGCAAAAAATAGGAAGAATACAGAAGTGAATTAAACTAACAACTTGGAATTTACTTCTTTTTAATTTTTTTGGTTTAAGTGTCTATAGCAACATATGACACATTTTAAATGTGGTTGTTTTAAAATAGATTTACTTTAGAAAGCATTTAAAAACACATAATGTTGGAGGCTGGCATGGTGGTGTAGTGGGTATTGTGCCAGCATCCCCTAAACACACTGTTTCTAGTCCAGCTCCTTGCTAATGGCTTAGGAAAGCAGTAAGATGGCCCAAGTGGCCAGGGCTCCTGCTATCATGTGAAAGACCTGAAGGGAGTTCCTGGCTCTTGACTCCACCCTGACCATTAAGGCTATCTGGTAAGTGAGCCAGTGGATTGATCTCTCTCTTTCTTTTTCTAATTCTGTAAAGTAAGTAGATCTTGGGCCCGGTGCAGTAGCCTAGTGGCTAAAGTCCTTGCCTTGCATGTGTCAGCAGCCCCACTTCCCATCAAGCTCCCTGTTTGTGGTCTGGGAAAGCAGCTGAGGATGGTCCAAAGCCTTGGGATCCTGCACCTGGGTGTGGGAGATCCAGAAGAAGCTCCTGGCTCCGGGCTCTGAATTGGTTAAACTCCAGCTGTTGTGGCCACCTGGGGAGTAAATCAGAAGATCTTTCTCTGTCTCTCCTCCTCTCTGTATATCTGACTTTCCAATAAAAATAAAATCTTTTTTTAAAAAAAGTAAGTAGATCTTTTAAAAGTAAAAATAAAAACACACATATTGCGGCCTCACATAATATAACAGAATTTAAACCTAGGCTGGGCAATCTGAAGTGCATCTTTGGGTCATGTATGACTATCACTTCCTCTTGTAAACTCTGACTCACAAGTAGATAGAGAATAAAAAATAATTTCTGCAAAGCATTTTGCATTCCTTGGAGAATCAATATTATCACCATACACTATGTTATCATCTTGTTGAATATGCATGATTTCCAGCATCACATAAAGTAGATTTAGACACACTTCCCCATCTCATTCCGTCGTCTGGAGTCAGGCGGAGAGAAATTGAGGCTGCTGTTATTTCACATGCCAAACACTCAGAGGTAAAATACTAACTTCAAATAATACATAAGGCTTTTAAAATGATAAATCATTGACAGGCTTACTGAAACTTAAACTATCTTATCTGTTCTGTGAATTAAACTGGCTTATTCTTTTAACAACCAAAAATGCTAGGTTTATAAAAAGTAAAAGTATTAGTCCTTTTCAAAATTTTTTTTTCTTTTTGAGAGCATTTTTTAATCTCCAAGTGTCTAATCAGTTGTGCATATATTTTTAAAATATGGTGCTGTGGCATAACAGGTAAGGTCTCTGCTTCTGATGCTAGCATCCCATAGAGTCCTGGCTCTTCCACTTCTAATCCAGCTCCCTTCTGATGTGCCTGGGAAAACAGCAGAAGACAGCCCAAGTGCTTGGGCCCCTGCACACATGTGGGAGTCCTGGAAGAAACTCCTGCATCTCCAAGCTTTGTACCAGCCTAACTCTGGATGTTGCAGCCATGTGGGAAATGAATCAATGGCTGGAAGATCTCTCTCTCTCACTGTAACTATGCTTTTCAAATAGATAAGTACGGCCCGGCAGCGTGGCCTAGTGGCTAAAGTCCTTGCCTTGAACATGCTGGGATCCCATATGGGCACCAGTTCTAATCCCGGCAGCTCCACTTCCCATCCAGCTCCCTGCTTGTGGCCTGGGAAAGCAGTTGAGGACGGCCCAGGGCTTTGGGACCCTGCTCCTGTCTGGGAGACCTGGAGGAGGTTCCTGGCTCCTGGTTTTGGATCGGCACAGCACAGGCCATTGTGGTCACTTGGGGAGTGAATCATCGGACAGAAGATCTGCCTCTCCTCCTCTGTATATCTGACTTTTGTAATAAAAAAAAATAAATCTAAAAAAAAAAGAAAAAAATAGATAAGTAAATCTTAAAAAAAAAAGTCTTCAAAAGGAAAAGGTAAATTTTTATATATTTCATATGTATTTGAAACAATTTGTTATCTATAAGCAAACATAATCAGCTTTGTATTCAGTGAAATTTCACCAGTAATAGTCTATCATATTTTATAAAAGGAATGTAGAAATAAAAGATTTTCAAATAACATGCTTTTTAAGGCAATATAATAGTGGCAGCTATTAAATGATTATCAAATGTTGGTAATGTAAGAGTTACCCACGGGCTCGGCGTGGTGGCGCAAGTGGTTAGGGTCCTCGCCTTGCACGCCCGGGATCCCGTATGGGCGCCGGTTCTAATCCCGGCAGCCCCGCTTCCCATCCAGCTCCCTGCCTGTGGCCCGGGAAAGCAGTCGAGGACGGCCCAAGGCTTTGGGACCCTGCACCTGCGTGGGAGACCCGGAAGAGGCTCCTGGCTTCGGATCGGCATAGCACCGGCCGTTGAGCTCACTTGGGGAGTGAATCATCGGACGGAAGATCTTCCTCTCTGTCTCTCCTCTCTGTATATCTGACTTTCCAATAATAAAAAAATCTTAAAAAAAAAAAAAGTTACCCTGATTACTACCCCTGAGGTACGCCAGTGCTGAAATGAAAAGCTCAATAAAGGCAGTCTAACTTAGAAGACCGGGGAGAAAAGAAAAATAAATAAAAGAATAAAGGAAAAGGACTACTGGGAAACTTCACATAAGAGAATCTCTGCAAAATACGATCATTCTCATGCGCAGATGAAAAGCAAAGAGTTATAGCTGCAGCTGAAAATCTGGCAATTGTGCGAAAACTTTGTTCACATAAAAGATGTGGTACATGCAAAGAAAAAATTCAACAATGGACGAATTATATTATGAAAGGTTATAATGCACATTAGGATTAACTAATGAAGGGAACATATTATAATCTATTGAATAAGACAGGAATACATGATTCTATATCAATACACATATTTAGCAAAAGAACAGTGAAATATTTAGGAGTGAAGGTATATCACTTATTTTCAAGCAGTTAAAAAATGACCTACTGAAAGGCATATGTGGCAAAATATTAACATAATTTAGTTAGAAGGCATATATGACTTCTTCATATTACTGAAACTTTTCTGAAATCTAATCTTCACAGCAATTTTTCCAGGGTCAGTACTGGCATCAGTTTGAAGAAAACAAAAGCTTCCAGAAGTTGAAGAATATAATATGATGGAGACCTAGTCAAAACCAGGTTTCAAGCTAAATTCTTTCTTCGCAGCTTATACTCTTAAACAAAGTGGTAACTTCAGCAATGGTTTAGACAGAGCTCTGATTCTTGAGTCAGGACAGGTTGCCCTATCCAGAGCTGAAGCCTGAATACTGTGTTAGTCACAATCACTGGCAACTTAGCTACCTTAGTTTCTGTTTTGTTCTGGAGACAGCACCTAATGGTTGGTGTCTATCATAGGCTAGTGAGGTGAGAGAAAATAATTTAGGGTAAGCACTTCGGAACAGAACCAAGACCCAGGGTAAGTACACAAGCGTTTCTTGTTTCCACAGATTTCACTATACCTTCCTGGAAAGAAATGTTGGACACATTGCTGAATTCTGAAATACAGAGACCTTACTTAGGTAGGATACTTTTTTGTTGCAATAATATAGATATCTAATATTCCTGTAGTACATATTCTATAGCTACTGTAGCATAAACCAAGCTGACAAACACGATATGAGTAAGACCTTTATCAAATCTCATTTCAACTGTTTTCCATTAAAAATAAAAAATTAAAGGACTGAAGCTGAACTTTCAAAGATGAATTAGAAAGTTCATGCAAATAAAAGACTAACACCAACAACTTCAGAAATGAATGTTTGGGCTTTAAATGTCTCTTAGAAACAAAGCATGCAAACAGACCTACTAAATACATTTTTAACTGCAGGATGAATTGACTTTAACTCTATAAAACAAAAATTATTTTTACCTTATTGTTTCTTCTATAAGACGATCTGAGCTGCAAAAATTTCAAAATAAGGAATTACTATACATTTAAATTACACTTATATGTTTTACATTTATGAATAAATCATTTTTCATTTTTATTTAAAAATTAGACATGAATACAGAATGCAGATTTCCGAAAGCATATGCAAAAAGATTTTGGAATCCTAGTTAATTCATTAATACAAATTTTATCTTTTATTATCTTAAATTTATTTTTTCCAGAGATACCCAATACTTAAGTCAAAGCCCTTTAATTACACTGTAAGGAAATAAAAAACTTCTTTAATCTAGATAATGCTCCCACCATCTGTTCAAAACTTAAGAATTACAACCAACTTGTTGAGACAGGATAGGCAAATACAGTTTTGATGTTTATAAGTAGTAATTACACATACCTTGAAGGTCCGTTTTTTAGCTAGATCTAGTCCCAACTTATTAGAATTACTTTAGAATTCCATAATTTGAATAAAGACACCAAATATGTACCACTGATCTGTAAATATCTGTTTTTATGTATTACATGTGAAAGAAAGAGAGAAAGTAAGGAAAGAGAAAGAAACAGCCAGCTACTTGAGGGCAAAGTTTGGTAGCTAATTTTGGTAGAAGAGCAAGTTTACAGCAGAAATAAGGAAAATAAATTCAACACATCTATACCCATTTGGTACATGTAAGATACACAGCAGGCAAATACTTGCATTTTCCCAATTACTTCCCAAAAGAATTTCTAAGTTCCTTCTATAAAATAGTAAGACCAGGCTTCATTTAAATTAAAAAATAAAAAAGATATGTTCATTTATTTTTCTTGGAAAGGCAGAAGTACAGAGAGAGGGAGACAGAGAAAGATCTTCTGTGTGTTGATTCACTCTCCAAGTGGCTGCAAAGGCCACAGTGCTGAGCCAATTCAAAGCCAGGAGCCAGGAGCTTCCTCCGAGTCTCCCACGTGAGTGCAGGGTCCTAAGGCTTAGGACTGTCCTCTACTGCTTTCCCAGGTCACAAGTAGGGAAGTGGAGCATCCAGGACATGAACCAGTGCCCATATGGGATCACGGTGGTTGCAAGGCGAGGATTTAGCCACTAGGCTATCATGCTCGGCCCCAAGCTTCTTATTAAAGTAGTAGACTAGGAAATCTAAGTTACTGCATCAATTAAGGAATAAAGATTCACTGTGAATATCTTATATAAATCTTTATAGGAATTTCAAAAATTACATAGATGGTGGGTAAAAGTGAAATCATATGCCCGTTTAAGATTTATTTATTTGAAAAGCAAAGTATCAGGGCTGAGATCTTCCATCCTCTGGTTCACCTCCCAATGGCCTACAACAGTCAGGCTGGGCTAGGCAGAGGATGAGCCAGGAACTACACCAGGTCTGCCACAGAGGGGCAGGGCCCAAGCTCTAGGACCAACATCCACTCTCTTCCCAGGTACAACAGCAGGGAGCTGGACTGGAAGCGAACAGTTGGTTCTCAAAAATGCATTCCAATATGGGATGCTGACATGCCATGCTTAAATGCTGGCTCTACCATTCACTAGTTATTTGATGTCAAGGAAGTGTCTGAACGTATTTTCTTAGTTCCACACACAAAAGAGCTTTACATCTGGAATGATTAGATCAGTGCCCAGCATACACTGAGCACTCCTTTTTGCTGTTATTATAACATTGACCAATAATTACAAACTCATTCTAAATCTAAGCAGAAAGTTGATGGGAACCGGCTTCACTGTGTAAGTGGCACATTAGAGAGTGAGAGTAAGTCACACACTGGCACTGTAGAAAGCTCTTTTCCAGCCCCAGCATCCTTAGTTTATGTGGTGACACAAACAGAGGAGGGCCAGTCATTTGAGGTCTCCCAGGCCCTGCTCACTGGGCCCAGACCACATAAACACCACTCATTAGCAGGAGCCTAGACATAGTGGATACGACTGAACAACAGAGTGGCTCCACAAAAATGGCATAATCTACTAAAAACGAATTCAAAACTGCTTTCCTTGGGGGCATAAACTATATGAAGGGAAATTATCCTTCCTAAACACGTGCTCCCTAACAGCCAGGGACGTTCCACAGTCATCTAGAGGATGTAATTAAGCAATGCATTTCTGTTTCTCTCAAGATCTATTTAAGCCAGCAGAAAACAATGAACTGAGTTTTACCCCCAATTAATGTTATCAACAAGAAATTATGAACGATACACTAGAATAACTCTTTTAAAAGGATAATTCATTTCTGCTAACACATACATGCTGCAAGTGGCACAAGTCTCAAGGAAAAAAGTTCAATTTCATGTATATATTTTAAAACAATTATAACTAATAAAATACAAAAACTTGGGAAAAATCACCAAGCTAATATCTAACTAGACTCCTCCTTATGAGCACAGGTGAATAAATGAATAAAACCAAGCAAGTATGTAAGAAAACAAGAACATAAATTTAAAAAGCAATCCTCTGGGAAGCTGCAATAATTCACAAGCTGTCATCAACCTAGGAGACAGTTCACCTTAAGCAATGTGGTAATGTAATCTTTCATTCAATTCACCACAAAGACCCTGAAGGTTTATGTCTTATTTATATCTGTATAATTATCTCTTAAAATATCTTGAAAGAATTAAGCTGCAGTGGAAGACTTACTGATATATAGTGTTTTCAGGTTAAGAGATTTTTACTTTAGAGATAACATTTGCAAAATACAGGAAAACAAACACAAAATAGGAACCTATCTGTAACGTTAATATTGTGGTGTATGTCCTGACAGGATGAATGAAGGTACACCTTTGCTGGTGATTTCATTCAGCACACACACAAAAAAATTATTCACAAGCTAGCCAGAAAAGAAAAATCAAGCACTTGAAAAACCAGAATTCTACCTATCTCAAGGAGAGGAAGGAGGAAAAGTAAACTTGAACCACTACTACCCGGAGATCGTGGAAAGTACCTTTCCTGCTTGTGCATTTTTTTTTTGTTTTTTTTTTTTTTTTTTTTTTGAGTAGGTCTTTCACTCTAACTTTGCCTTTCAAATAAATAAATAAATCTTAAAAAAAAAAAAAAAAGATTATTTTTTGGGCCTGGGGCGATAGTATAGTGGTTAAAGTCCTTGCCTTGCACGCGCTGGGATCATATGGGCACCAGTTCTAATCCCTGTGGTTCTACTTCCCATCCAGCTCCCTGCTTGTGGCCTGGGAACGCAGTCGAGGATGGCCCAAAGCCTTGGGATCCTGCACCCACATGGGAGACCTGGAGGAAGTTCCTGGTTCCCAGCTTCGGATCAGGGCAGCACCAGCTGTTGCACTCACTTGGGGAGTGAATCATCAGATGGAAGATCTTCCTCTCTGTCTCTCCTCCTCTCAGTATATGACTTTGTAATGAAAATAAATAAATCTTAGAAAAGTCACATCCTTGAGAAGACTCCAACAACCCTCTAGTACAATGGAAGCAAACCTAACTCCCCTTTTAATAATATGCTCTCATAGTTCTTTGTACTTTGTCAAGTCATTCCGAATTTAAGATGTCAGGCACCAGGCTATGCACTGGAAGAAAACTAAATTTATAGAGGTTTCCCCCACCCCATATGGTACCTCATGTAATATTTTAAAAATTTATCTCACAGAATTTTTTGTTTACAGTTTCTCTGACTGGAATGAGTTCCCTGGAGAGAAACAAGAGAATGAGTCTGATCCATCTTGATTCCCTGAAGTCTAGCACATGGAAGATACTCGATAAATGCTTGATGAATGACTGAACAAATGAGGAACAGACACTCGGCTGACACTGAAATATTCCTGTAAGCTTCCATAGGACAAAGGGATTTATATATTAATATACAGAACAATACATATTATTATACGCAAGTATTATATAAGCAGAGTACCTCTACCACAGAGTACCTCTAGCTCAAGTTAACAAAGCCACATGGGCTGGGTGAGATGGCCTGGTGACTAAAATCCTTGCCTTGTACGCGCCAGGATCCCATATAGGTGCCAGTTCTGATCTTGGCAGACCCACTTCCCATCAGCTTCCTGCTTGTATCCTGGAAAAGCAGTTGAGGACGGCCCAAAGCCTTGGGATCCTGCACCTGTGTGGGAGACCTGGAGGAAGCTCCTGGCTTTGGATCAGTTCAGCTTGAGGCACTGTGGCCACTTGCGGAGTGAATCAGAGGAGGGAAGATCTCTCTGTCTTTCCTTCTCTCAGTATACTTGCCTTTCCAATAAAAAATAAATAAACTCTTAAAAACAAATCTTGCTTAATTATAACTTACTTTATCTAACAGTTCTATATTTGAAGTTATTTGAAACAAGTTTATTTTTTACAGAGCTTTAATTTTATAAAATTCTACAATTATTTACCCTTAAAATAATAAAATGGGTGACAGCTATTAATTCTCCTTTAAAAACAAAAAAGGGGATCAAGTCATTTGCTTTCTGAGAGGTTAAAAAGTAACTGGTTTCTCAAGTCTCAATAACATTATGCTATGTTGATCCCTAAATACAATGAAAATGAATTTTTAAAGAAGCAAACCACAGGGAAGACAGGGCGATGTGGAACAAAAATCAAAAATGGAAAGAGGTTAGGAAATGTGCATTTGGTAAGAGTTGTACTATTAAATAGTTATGAGATCTTGACCTATATTATCTTTGAATCTTACTTCTTAATTTGTTACATACAAAAGATGCTTGCTGAAGATTTTTACATGTAATATGAAGGTACATCAAAGATTTATGCCTCATGGAATCAACAGAAATTTATTTTGGTGGAAAACATTTGAAATCCATGCATACAAAGGATTTTCAAAGAACTGAAAGGGAATGCTTTCTATGGGAAAAACTACACACAGATTTCAAAATCAGGATACATCTGCATTTCTGTGTATAAAATAAAAATTAATGCTGTCCACCTAATCTACTTATTCACACAATAAAGATCATGAATGCCATGTATGGTGTAACAAGAACTGGAGATCCAACACCACCGAAACCAGACCAACTTGGTCTATACAAACTACAAATCACCTGAAAGA